GCATTCTCAGTTTCTTTTTTTTTAAAATAATTATGAGACATAATAGCATTAACAAATAAATCTTCCAGCTGTTGTGAGACTTCTTTTCCTGGGGATGCTAAGCAATGCTTATTCCCTTTTAAGATTCTAGTGTTAAGTTAATGTCTGATTAAAGTTTTACTGGGGAGCCAATGAATTTATTAAGCTTACTTACCAAGATAACTGAGGGATTGCTGAGGTGTGACCTGAGGGTATGCACACTGCCTTTACCCAGCATGGGTCATGCCTTCTCTTCCTAGCCTTCCCCAGATTGTATACTTCAGCCCTCCCCAATCCAGGAGGCCATGTGTGATTAGGGCCAAATTACATTCAGTTGGCTGGGAACAGTGGCCGGCTAATCCGGTGAGGGTCCCATGATCCTGCTTGGCCCTCCTTTAATGAATGAGCACAACCGTCAACAAGCTCAATTGTGATGATGTTTAGAGATCAGGCTCAGCTGAAGTCATGATGATGGTAGTAATTTAATGCAGAAGGGACTGCTGTATAGCATCATCTTATTAGAAGGACCTGGAATTTAAAAGGATTTTGTGCTAGGGGCCACATATGAGGGAGAACATATATCATTTGCTTTTCTGAGATCGTGTTACTTCACTTAGTATAACAGTTTCTAGATCCATCCATTTACCTGAAAATTTCACTATTTCATCTTTCTTTACTGCTGAATAGAACTTCATTGTGTAAATATACCACATTTTTGTTAACCATTCATCAGTTGAGCAGCACTTAGGTTGCTTTCATTTCTTAGCTATTGTGAAAAAAGCAGCAACAAACATGGTTGGGCAAGTGTCTCTACAATAGTATGAGTCCTTTGAGTATATGTCAAGGAGTGGTATAACCGGGTTATATGGTAGGTTCATTTTTAGGTTTTTAAGAGTTCTCTACACTGTTTTCCAGAGGCTGCACAAGTTTGCAATCCCACCAGCAGTGAATGAGTGCTCTGCTTTCTCTATATCCTCATCAGCATTTGATATCATTGGTTCTCTTGATCCTAGCCAGTCTAATTGGGGTAAGATGATACCTTAGGGTGGTTTTAATTTGCATTTTCCTAATTACTAATGATGATGAACACTTTTTGAGATGTTTCTTAGCCATCTTCATTTCTTTCTTTGAGAACTCTGTTTAGATCTTTAGTCCATCTTTTAATTGGGTCATTTGGTTTCTCAATTCTTTGTTTTTTGAGTTCTTTATATATTCTGGACGATAAACCTCTGTCAGATGTCTCACTGGTGAAGATTTTTTTTCTCATTCTGTGGGCTTTCTCCTCACTTTTTTGATTGTTTCTTTTGCTGTACAGAAGCTTTTTAGTTTAACGAGGTCCCACTTGTTGATTGCTGACCTTAATTCCTGAGCAACTCCTGTCTGATTTAGAAAATCCTTTCCTATACCT